AGTGTAACCATAACAATATACCACTTTTCCATGCTTAGCATATTCATTACATTGTCTTCCTCTCAACTTCTTGATTTGTATGCAATAAATCTGTGTAAGAGCAAATGCAATCTGCAAGTCAATAAAATCCCATCCCATGGGAGGAAGGAGTCAAAGTGATATGCCTAGCTTGGATGAAGAATACAAAGCACATAAAGGAGAGAGGTCTCAGTACGGTGTGCCAGGTACAGAAAGCTGCTGCATGAAGAAGCAAAAGGTCTCAGCTGTGTTTCTACCAGACATTGATGAAACCAGGCCATGAAATCTACAGCTCATGTGTATCACAGAACACCCCAGGTTAGAAGGGACTTTGTAAGTTCATCAGGTGGCAATTTTCCCCAGAGCTCTGCACCTTGACGCTGGCTGCACATGGCTGTCTGCATGGCAGAGGCTGGGGCAGCAGTGGTGTGCTGAGCAGGGCAGCAAGCAGGGCTTCATGCAGCTCAGGCTGGTTCCTTCTGCAGATCTGACCTCAAACACCTACGGCAGAAGCACTTACATCTCTCAACCAACTCTTGGCTGCCTTCCTTCCTCTATGCTTACTTGCATAAAACAAGAGTTAGAAATTTTCCAATTCAGAATCCCAACAGGCAGTGGCAGGTTGAGCCCAGCTGCCTTTTCTGCCTTTCTCACCAATGTGATAGCTGGTAGCATTTGATAGAGCCAAGATATAGAATGGTGGGCTCGTTTGCACGTTAGCTGGGTTTTGCTTTGGGCCATGCCCTTTTCTTCACTCCTATTCCCAGTGGTGGCCAGCAAAACTTCAGTTGGTCCATCCCAGCCATTGATGGGATCTTCCTAATAGTCAGAATCCTCTTAAACTACACACCCTAAGCCCAGATCCCAGGTTCTCATATCTGTACTGCAGAGGCCAAGACATGTGAGAGAAGAGCAAGGTAACTCATGAACCCACACAGCCTGCTACAGCCTTTCTAAGGCCACAGTCTTGCAAACATCTTGCAAACACCAGTAGTAGGCATGTGTGCCTGAACTCTGAGTGATGGCTGTTCCAGAATAGTCCTTATATTGCACCTATGTTACCCATCCATTCATCCCAAGTGGATATGAATTTGCCAGAAGCTTCTTATTCCTCTGAAAATATGTGGAATCTGGGCATTGACATTCAGCTGAAGTTTGCCCTGTCTATTCATTCAGCTAGTGACAGGAGGCATCCGTTACATCCTGACTGAATAGATGACTTGCAGAAGCATCTTGCTTTGGGAAATTCTGACTTCATAAATCTTGAGAACAGTTACGAAGATGAGAAGTGGAAACAATGATTGCAACAACAAGCTTTAAAGGAATCTTCAGAGTAATAAAACTATTGAAAAAACAAGTTAAAGAAATAATTATGTAAGGGCATTAGGTATAGTCACACCGCTGTTAAAGCAGACTGCTTTAAAATATCCATGCAGGGGCATTTGAACAGTGACAGCTGAAAAAAAGTTTCACAACTACATCAGCTTTGTAGGCTGAACTGTTACTATCATTCACAAGAAAATAAACTAGTGACTGCACAAAAAAAATGATGACAGGTTTTCTCCCCACCCCCATCACATCTCTCAGCAGCCATGGGAGCAGCTCTCCTTGCCATGGCTCACGTGAAGCCAGCAGAGATGTGGCAGGGCTTCCGCTTGTAAGTTCAGATTCAGGTGGGGTCTACTGAAATGGTTCTGGGCTGGAGCAGCCCATCTTTGTTGGCATCCTCATCAGACACAGCCTAGCTGAAGGCCGCAGGCTGTGCTACAGGACCCAAGCAGCCACCCATTTGCCATTTCCTGTTATAGCTCTGCTCTGCTTTCACCAGCTCTACCAAGAGGCTTCTGCTGCAGATGCTGATGCTTTGCAGTTGAACATGCATCATACTGAAAACTGGGCGTGTTACATCCCAGTGGATATCTGCAGAAACATTCTCAGGCTGAGTTTGGCTATCTCACTTGGCTCAGCTACCAAAGTGATTTTTTTCCTTCTTCGCACTACAGTATGGACAGAGCTTACTAAACACCTCATTCATGTCTATGCAGGCTATGTTTTCAGAAAAAGTGATTGCACTTGGAATAGAGCTTTTTCTTTTTTTTCTTCTTTTATTTTTTAACTTGATCATATAATTTATTCAGGAAAAGCAAATACAGGTTTTATTTTCTGATCTTCTCCTTATCCCCTACAGGTTATGATATCTTATGTGTAAATTCAAATTAACACTTATCCCATTTGGATTTCTGTGTATTTAAATTGAAGTCTTGAAATATTTTTTTTCTTTTCAGAATAAAGAAAGCTTTTGAGCAGCTGTCATGTCTGGGGAGCAAAGGGTTGGGCTACTGACCATGTTCGTGTCTGACTAGGAAAACCACAGCCAGAGCTGAAATTACTTTGTCAACCATTTTTTCACATTACACATTTCACAGCCTGCGGAAATGTGTATCTTCATAGGCAGGGCAAGTTAGCCGAGAGTTTTGCTGTGACTTCATTAAACCTGGTTCTTACCACGGGTGTGCCCTCCTCGACCTGCTTTTTGCCCTAGTTTGGGCTGATCTGTGGGCTGCTCAGGCTGAGTAGGGCATGGCTGGACCAGGTCTGATGGAAAGCCTCAGTGGCTGGTGGGAGAGATGTCCCAGGAGCCTGCCCACAGGATGGAAAACACTGGCAGACCACTGAAGCACTGTGCAGGAGGGTTTGTGGCCTCATCATTTGCTCTCAGTGGGGAGGGAGTCAGAGATAAAAGCTGCGCTGAGAATGTCCCAACAGATTTCCTGCTAGAAATCCAGTGACGAGGAGAAGCAGCCGCTCTTTGGCCTCCTCCTCACCCTCACGGGAACCTCAGTTGCTCCTCACGGGGGGATAGAGGGAGGAAATCTCCTGTGGACACGTGCTCCCTGACCCCATCCATCTTCCCCCTTTCCTGATATCAGCTCAAAGGGCAGAAAGTAGCAAATGTGCCTGGGCTGCCTTCAGCTCGCTCGAAGAGAGAAAAGCTTCAAAGTCAGTTGTCACAGTTTGAAAGCAGCCCCTCAACAGCCCCAGCAGCACTCCAGATTTGCTCCCAAGCCCTGCCAGCCCCATTGTGTTGGGCTGAGGTGGCTGTTTCTTGGCCACATCCCCATAGCAGCCCCAGACTTGCCAGCTCAGGTTGTGAGGGAGCTGGGCAGGCTGGACCCCAGGCCACACCTCCTCTGGGTTACCTCTGTGGGCAGTCAGCATGGGGTGTGCTTTGGTTTTGGCAGGAGGCTGGTGGGAACGTGACAGGCCGACATGATCACAGCTTTTTTAAAACAAGCTTGTGCTGTGTAAGCTGAGGCAATCAGATGATGATTTTTTTCTGCTAGCTGAAGCAGCCCTGCAGGAAACAGATAGGAAGGAAGGGCAGAATGCTGCATCTCTTTGTCCTGTGGGCAACAGGGCAGGAGGAGCCCACTGGCCTTCAGGGATGCTGCTGCACTCTGTGCCTCAACTGCAGCAGCACTGTACCTCCGCTGCCACCATGTCACATTTTGCTCTCCCTCTCACTAAAATCAGTGCCAGGTCTTCTCTGTCCTGACGCAGTGCCACCACGCTGTGGGAATCAGGTCTCCCATCTGCAATGCAGGATAAATCAGATGCTGCATCCACGTGCAGCTGCTGTTCTTCCTGTTCCCAGTGCACAAAAGAAGGTTCGTTCAGTTATCTGTCCCTCAGCAGTGGGCTGTTGTGCACCAAGGTCATGCAGCCATGTCTATGCACTCAGGACCATAAAAACATACAATGTCTTGGAATTGGGAGTATCCATAAAAACCATCTCGTTCCAACCCACTGCCATGGGCTGCTGTCACTCACTGTATCACGCTTCCAGTCTTCATCCAATCTGGCCTTAAATGACTGTAGTCATTTAAGCAGTGTCAGCAACATGTGCAAGGAAAAGAAGGTGGCTTTTCATGTTGGCATCACTGCCTATATAACATGTGTGTTTCAGTTTCTATAGATTATGTTCTTAGCTTTACAGTCACGTCATTCAAAAGATATAAAAGAAGGACTTCTAGGGAAAAGAAGTACTCTACCCACCTTACTATTCTGTACTGCTGTTTTTAGACAACAGAAGTCTTGGAGGGGCTGAGTATTTATCTCCCTCAGCTTTCCACGGTGATTTGCAATTGAGCAGAATGTTTCTACATATATATTACCATGCTTGCATGTGGCAAATAAATGAGGCAGCACTGAAAGAAATGGATCCCATATTTAATTTGCTAAATAAGAACCAACTTCATGTTCTTCAATAAGGAAATTAGAGTTGGGAAGGAGTTTGGCTGTTCTGTTTGCTTTTCCCCAAAAAACAAAGTCCCCAAAGAAGATGACGCTGACCAGTTCCTGCCTAAAGTAGCAATCCATCCATGCAGCTTATTAGAAGATCAGCTTACTTGTCTTTTTGTCACTTTATCTTCAGATTTGATGCTTTTTTTTTTTTTTTTTTTCTTCAAAAAATGCTCTTGTTCAATGAGAAACACTGGCCTAGACACTGTAGTGACTGAAAGAATCTCATGACTTGCATGCAGACAAGCCAGATTACAGGTATCAGGTGGTTATTACCAGTTTAGTCAGGCTAGGGCACCAGGTGTGGGCACAGCTCTTCATGTGTGTCAAAGACTTAGCCAAACCAGACTTTGCTGCTCACACTTTGCTTACTCTTCCCTTGCTTCCAGCAAAATCATTTGCTGTTTCGCTTGGGTTCAGTGAGTCTTTCCCAGATCAGCCAAGAATATCTTACATTTCTGCAATATGGTATGATCAGCACTTCAGCCCTATCAGTGGTGAATTCAGCATAATCCCACCCCTGCTTCAGTCCTCCATTTTTTGTCAAGGGGAAAAAACCGAGACACCAAGTTCTGTGCTTGGACAAGCCTGAATCTTTAAGGTTAGAAATACTCAGAGGAACCTTGAAAAAAACCAAAGTAATCAGGTTCATCAGCAGTTTATTTTATTAGTACTATGAAACTCGAGCCAAAATGGAACACAATGAAAAGGCCATATGTCTTCAAAAGGATTTTCTTTGAACTACATACAAACATCAGTTTAGCAGATTATTTCATTAAAGGAGCTGAGATTCTGCACTTAATTTATTCGTAGCCTATTGCACATCTCACTACATGTGAATGTCCAAATGTTTTCTGGGGAGAGAGGGAAAGGTTTTGTTGTTTTAGCTGTCTCCTTAAGCCCATCAAAGAACCATTTTGACTTCAACTTTTGCAATCCTGATTTTATGCAGCAAACTGGGTGTCGCAGTGATTAAAAACAACTAGTGAAGTGCTTATTTTCTGCTGTTGGGATGGTACCTTATGGTATACGCACAGTTTCAGGTCTGAGCTGGTGATGCTACAGCGGTAGGCAAGGCACAGCATCATTTCTCTCTGGCTCGTGCCCTGGCCCAGGGGAAGGAAGCTGCAGCGCTTTCAGGAGCAGGGAGCCCACAGCAAAGCTTGCTGAAAAACAAGTGGAGAGGTGGGAAGGATCAAATTCATGGCATAAGCAAATACTCCACAAATCATCAAGAGACTTACTTACTGTGGCTTTGATGGCCACAAAGAGATTTTCGTCAAGGGTTTTATACAGCTAAAATCAATTCATTCACTTCATCTGTTTTGAACATACTGGAGATGCAGCTAAAGATGTCACAAATGGTTAGAGTTGCCTGGAAACCTTCAAGGTGTCAATTGACCATATTTTTAGGCGCAGGAATGTTACATGGACACACCACGACTTCACCAGCGATTTCTTTAAAAAACAAATGGAGTCAGAAATCTACAAGGGAATAAAAATATCAGGAGAGTGAAGCTGAGTTGAAGCAGGGTAACTCAAAATCAATATTTTGCTTTTAAACTCTTAAGGGGAGGCCCAGGAGGGCTGCACTCATTTTGTCCTCCTTCCTCAATGTCCTCAGAGAGTTGGCTGAGAAGTGACAAGGCTGCTCCATACTTACTGCAGGACATTCCTCACTAACAAGCCACTTGTTAGAGTATTCAGCCGCTGCTTCCCTGCCCAGTGCCTGGCCTTTGCTGAACAGCATTAGACCACAGTCAAACTCAATAGGAATAAGAAGGGAAGGAGGTTCCTATCCTTCTACCACACACATGTTGGAGTCTCCTTGCCCACTCATGTTGCAAATTCACTTCTGTGCATAAATCTGGGTCACAGCCCTTCCAGCACCCCTGGCACAACCCCTGCAATTTGCATTCAGGGACTGAATTCAACCTGAGGTAACTCTGGGCTGCTGGTGATAGGAGAAGGTGGCCACAGGACTGCATTGTGCCCTTTTCACTTGTGGGCATGTGGGGGTGGCTTTGCCCAATGCAGCTGGGAAAAAAGAGGTACAGACATTAAAGTGTTTTTCCAGCCTGAGGTAGAAAAAGACAAAGAAACTTCTGTTGTGCCTTTTTTTTTTTAAGCTTCTACATTGTAAAAAAATGTGTTCAGGAAAAGGCACAAGGGCACAAGTCAAAAGCCTTCAGGTTCTTGACTCCCCAGATATTTCCCTGGGACCATGTGCACTGGGAATAGGCAATGCTGCCAGCCTGGAGTGTGTTTCCCTGGCACTAGGGGTACAGAGTGCATAGTTTGCTGTGCTCTGAGCAGATTTTGGTCCAGACAAAGACACTGAAGTGAAGCATCAATGAAACTGAACCCATGTTCTCACATGCTCACATCTGATGGACTTCAGTGGCCTTGACATGGGATGGAAGCATGACTATAAATGCAATAGGAACTCTTTTTTTTCTCCTTTGATCAAACAGAACCTCAGGGAGCAGTGGCTGGCCAGCTGAATGACGGATGTCATATTAAAGACTCCGTCTTACCAACACCAGCCTATGCATTCCTCTCATTTCTGTAAGACATGGAAAAATGCCTTATAGCCCTGCAAGCCCTGACCTGGTTGTCATGAAGGCCTGTGTCATGGTAGAACCTCTTTCCTCACCTCCTAGGCAGCACACACATCAGACTTCAAAACCATTTCATCCAAACACTAAGGTGATGGAAACTGAATGTCTCAGGAGCTTCCAAGCTCTGGGCCCAAGACTTTAGCAAAAAGTGGGGTGAGCCTTTACTCTGGACTCTTGGTGAGCCAGTAATCCAGAGCCAGAGTTAGCACAAGCTCAGTGTGAAAGAACCATGAGGGCATCATTGCTCTGCTTGGTTCACAGCTATTCTGATCAGCAGGAGCTTTACTCCAGGTTTTGACACTGTCTCTTGAAGAAATGTCTCCAGAAAAACCTGCTGCAGTAGGCTCAAACCTTTAGAAACATGGCCCAACAGAGCAGGGCAGGAAGGCGGTTAGGTTCCCATCTCCCTAACCTATGTGGTTGTAGATGCAGCCACATGATTTAGATCCTGCAGACCTCGGGAAGGAGGGGAGCTCTCTGGTGCAGCTGAAGCACAGAGCTACATAATATTGGTCCCTTCAATCCCTCTCTGGCCATGTGTCACAAATTCACCCCACAGATCAGCCAGGGTGGACTGCCCGCTCTCTGTGGGATCCGTCTCATGATTGCAGCAAAGAAAATTCCAACCAGGTGGAATATGTTCACTTTTATGAAGTGAGTCCTTCCCCTTCTACCCACCAGTGATTTCCAGAAGCTGTGCAAGGCAGACCCATAAGCACCAGCAGCTCCAGCTTCAGCCGAAGGACTGTGCTTCTGCCGAGCAGAAAGCTCACAGCAGAAGAGCACAAAAACGCTCTTGGTTTCATTCTGTTTTCTGTTCTTTTTCCTACACATTTCCACTTGTTTTCTAAATCTTGTACAGGTCCGTAACATGCTAAGTTTGGCTTGCTCCAGCTCCATGCCCCTGCCGATGACACTGAAATGAACTACAGAGGCTGATCAGACTCCAGATACCCAGCGGACAGATGTGTGCCTCGGTGGCACTCCATTAAGTAGTTTGTTTAAAACCCCCAAACAATCCTCTCTCATGCAGATGGAAATGCTGGCCTGCCTCTTTGCAAGGAGATGTGGATTCTGCCTTGGCAGATATGTGTTGATCCGCTCAGTTAAAAAACTTCAAACCCCTAAAATTCTGATCTTTGACCCTACCCTAAAACTAATTTGAACTATTCTCAGCTGATCTGGAGTTGAAGGGAATGGCTTTTAACTGGAAATACCTTATCTTTAGACAAGTAATTGTTGTTAATTAAACCAGTAAAGAGACATTAGCCTCTGCTTACTTAAGTTTTAGCCAGTGGATTAACAGGCAGCCCTTGATATCCTTTCAAATGAAGATGTTCTCATGGAATCGAACGATTCTAGCACTCAAATCCCTTTCCTGTGATCTGAAAAATAAACCTTGCAAAAGAGCAAACTCACCTGCACAGGCACAAAGCATCATTTCCAAAGCTTGTTTTTTCTCTTCAAGACAGAGATGCAGCTCTTCCAACTCTGCAATTATTTTAGCAGTAAAAGAATAAGGAAACTGTAATCAGCTGCTAGTAATAGGAATATACATTTTTTTTTCCTGCCAATATGTGGAAATAAAAGAAGTGTATGTAATTGCACATGAAAATTTCTCTCTGACACTCCTGAAATTTGTGATCACCATATTGCTACAGCTGCATCAATAAGAGTGTGACAGAAAATAGAAAAGAAGCAGGTATGAGATTAGTGCAAGAAAAAAATATTGTTATATTTAACATTGTCTCACAAAATCAACTGCTTCACTGTTCACTTGCAGAAGGACAATAACTGTGATAATTGTGGAAATGGTGATAATGCACTGTGAGAAAAAGCTGGGGAGATGAAAGATGGCCTGGAACAACTCAGGTAAAATCCATCTGATGGGGCTGCCAAGCATATTCCTGTAATGTAGGGGGCCCTTGTATGTCACCTGGCATGTATGCCACTTCCAGAGAGGAGAGATGGACCTTTGAACTGATCCAGCAATGTGCACACACAGCTTATTTTTATCTGAGGTTTAAATCCCCTGCATCATGTCAGTGCAAACCTTACCTTAGGCCAGAGCCAAACAGCCCCAGTGAGGCATTATGGTTACACTTGTTCAGATTCACAGGGCTTAGATCTTCTAGTCTTGCAATGTCATTTGCAGCTGGGAAAGTGAACAATTGCAAAATGGCAGCATTTGACACTTACTTCCTGTCAAAAAAATCCGTTCCATGGCGCTAGTCAATCGTCAATTGACTCCAGGGAAAGTTTTCCCAGCGACTACAAATTGGAGAAAGTCCCATACAACAAATTATTTTCTGAAACATCATACGCAAAATCATATTTTTCTTTTTACTAATTCATTAACGTTGTCCTAGGCAACATTCCCCTGTTCTTTGGAAGATTATTCCTTCTGTAGACACCCCTTAAATTTAAGGAGAAGCCCCCAAAATTTTAACTCCATTTTCCTGTCATGTAATTCATGTTCAGATTTTGACACAAACATGGAATAAAGTTCTGTCTGCACATAGCCAACTTTCCTTGCAATGAAGAAGCATTAACATATCATATGCCACATAAAGGTGAAAAGTTGATACTTACTTTAGAGAAGCTAACAAACATATTGAAGCTTTTTCCCTCAAGTTTTGATGGTTAAACTCTTTCTCAAACAGCAAGAAAAAGAATTCTGGATTAAGACCGAGTGGTGGGATGGGTCCCAAAATGTTTAAAGGCTGTTGTTAAAAATTTGCTTAAAACTTGTTTATTTCTTTAATATGGGCATTTACTACTTCAACTGAGTTACTTTTAAAGGCTAGTTACAGCTTGCTGAGTGACAGAAGATATCACTGTATTTTTCTGCCTAGCAGACAAAGCTCTTGCAGAGCCACTGTTTTTCACCCTTTTTAGCAAGTATAGCCCTCATCTTAAAAACAGGAAGTGGGAGCACAAATAAAGTCTCACTGCAGCCAACAACAAAGCCAGCAATAAAATCCAGAAATCTGCCCTGGCTTTGTTTCTGCTCTACCTAGCAGGCCATGCTTCTTCCTTGGAAGCAGAAATATATTTCCAATTTTCAAACCTTGCACAAACCTTAATTTTCTCTTTCAATTCTAGCATTACAATCCTTTGGTCTTCCTTTCAGCATGTATATTAGAAGATCTACCACCACCAGCTTACTGCAAACCTAACTGGAACATATCAAGAAACAAACTGAAAACTTTTCTGGAGAGCCACCAAAACTACATGAAGCTTCAGTACGCTTTAACATCAGAGAAGGAACTCCCATCAAATCTGGCGATTTCGAATGCTAATTTAGCAAAAACAAATGCACCACTCTGCCTCTCCCAGCAAGATGATCTTGGTATTTGAAGGGTTTCCACCAACTCTCAGACTATAATTACAGAAACAAAATATGGCATTAATGACTCAAAACACTTATAAATGGGTGACAGGAAAGGTCCACTTATGAGTAAGACCAGAACAAACCCTTCCAGAGTTCTGCTCTCCATCTTACCAAAATTCTCATCCTGCGATTCTTCCTCTTTGTTCAGTACCAAAGAAGAGGTTGGTGATGGCCCACCCCACAGGGAGCAGGGCCTCAGCACTTTGTCCCTCACGTTCACTGATGTGTCTCTGCAAAGTTTTCTGTGCAAAAGAAAAAAGAAATCCTCAGAAAAAAAGAAAATTATTGTAAATACTGGAAGCTAGCATGAGTATGTGAATTTAGGAGACTGCATTTGAACTTGGTGCAAAATTAAGAGAGAATATAAATGAACGCTAACTGCACTACTTCATAGAGTGCAATAGCTACTGTAAGATGGATTTACATTCTGTTTCTTCACAAGGTAATAGGGATCCTCAAATTCTGAAAGAAATAAGCAAACCAGACTTTGAACTCCCCCATCTTGGAGCATCGGTTTGTAATGAAAGAGGGGAATTTGGGTTAGACAGTAAAGAGAAATTGTTCAAGGGTGGTGAGGTACTGGAACTGGTTGCTCTGAGAAGCTATGTATGCTCCATCCCTGGATGAGTTCAAGGACAGGTTGGATGAAGCCCTGAGCATGATGTAGTGGGAGGCAACCCTGTCCATAGCAAGGGGGCTGGAACCAGATGGACTTCAAGGTCCCCAAGCCATTCCATAATTCTATTCTACGCCTCCATTTTCTTATTTTCATATAATATTCAGAAGGCGAAGAGACAGCATAATACACACAGAAAATAAACTGAATTAGTCTGGCAATCAGACTCAGTAGCTGTTCACTTTTAATCCATTGCTTGTATGAGAAAAATCTAGCTCTGAGTCACAATATAAATCTTCATGTTTTACATTCATCTACGCAAAAATGACCGGTTAAGCCCATATCAAACTTAATACCTCTGTTTAAGCCCAATTTATCATAACACCACTTCCAATATTTTGCTGAATCAGAAGTTGGATGCAGTGCTCCCATGGACAGGCAGCCATATGCCATGTGTGCTGTGGTATACAGTGGTTAATTTCCCAGGAGAAAATGAATCTTGCAGAAGTTTCTCTTCATCAGGCCTTTTATTAGACACTGTTCAAACTGAGTCCCAAGAAAGCATGATTTCCTTGGCTGTAATGGCATGCACACTCCTAGACAATAGGAAAATCGGCTGGACGTGCCAGCCCTAGTGCCAGTACCAAATCCAGCAGCTACCTACATCCCTGATTGCATGTTTATTATCAGATTATCAAGAAAAAAAAACAGAAGAAAATGAACGTACCTGCACCTGGAATTATCTGTCTCACACCTGCCTTTCTTGGCTGCTCACTATGCACCAGCCCCTTTCCATCCATGATCTTCTCCACATACTGGAATGTGCCATGTGAAGCAGCAGCTTACTGCTATAGCAGAAGCAGATGTGTGCACTGGTGTTCCCATGCCATTGCCTTGCCCACCTGCACCAGTGCTATACAGAGCACTTATTAAAGTCTCAGTGTGTTGCATGTGGCCTGGCATGTCCCTGAGCCAGAGGAAGGAGTCTAGCTGGAAAGGACCCTACTGCTGGATGGGATACCAGATGTCCCCACAAGGAACAGCAGCCTGGCACATGAGAAAGCCTGCCCAACAGCCTAGAAGGCTGATGGGAAGGAGGCAGCTGTGGCAGGCTATGCTTGCTTTCCTTCTGCTTCCTCCCCAGCCAAATTTTCCCCTCTCCCTCTTTCTCACCTTTTCCAGTCTTAATTCACCAGATATTCTCTTAATGGATTGGCACCTGATGGAAATCAAGCACAAATTGACATGTTCCTTCTAATTGATGTACCAACTACTTCAGCTTCCTCCCTGTGAATGCCATACTCCTGCTTATCCGTTACTGTTCGTATTTTACATGAGGGACAACCAAATCTGACCTCAAAAGAACATCACCTGTGATCTGTTCTCCTTGAAATGCCATGCTCCCAGGGGCACTCCCGCCTTACCGCTGAGAAAGAGGCAGCTGCCACTGCTGTAAAATGATTGGAGACTTTGCTGACTGCTGGGAACAGGTTGTCCTCTTCAAACATTGCCTTTCCCTCCTCTTTCATCATATGTATGCAATAAGATTTTTCTACCCAAGACTTTTCCCATCACGATATTCCTGTGTAGCTACGTCAGCCATGTTGACAGATGCATGCCAGAACCCTGCAGTACCAGTGAGAAAATTAAAACAAGTTTAGTTCCTGATAATTTATTTTTTCATCTTCACATTCAAAGACTAATTTCTCTTCTTACTTTTTAGCCTTCCTTCTCTCTTTCCTTTTTTCTTTTCTTCTCCGTGGAGCATTGTTATGCCTGGGATGCCCCAGGGTGAGGGAAATGAAACACACACCACGGTAGCTGTTGTTGCTCTCTCAGATACCTTATTTGAGCATAGGACAGTATTTGGCAAACATTTCTTTCATCAGCAATGGCTACTTCAGTTGTTCCCCACTCCCTCTGCACAGAGAAACCAAGTTCAGTACAAAAGGAAACTGTGTATGGAATCACCCCTGCCTGCTTTGGTATTTTCTAGGCTGAGACACTTCTTCCATTGCCGTTAAGTTACATTTGTAGACGCAAAACAAATAGAACAAGTCTTCCCCTCTGAAGTTCCTTTAGGAACAAGCCACTTTTGGCAGCACAACAGCTTTCAATATCTTTTAGCTGACATCTGTTCATCTGCAAAAATTTTCATGTTTTGATTTTGTTTAATGCCCCAATTAATTTACAGAGGAGGAAAGCAAAAAGGACATACAAATATCAACATATGACTATGAACCTCACATTGCAAAGAAGGTCAAGGTAGTGGACCAGATTGGTTTGATTGGTTTCTTTACTTCCATCCTAAACATTTCTGATCTACGACACCATAAAAAATGAAACTGCTTAATGTCTACCAATTTTGAAGACAGCTATCTTTAAAATTGCACAATATGAATTTGTAAAAGAGTAACATATTAAACTGAGCACACTGCAGGAATTTATCAATCTGCATCACCAAGGGAGAAAAATAAGACATGCAAGCCATCTATGTCTAACATGCTGTAGTGAGAGAATTGTCATCATCTTTGGGTTTTTATAAATAAAATAAATATAAAAGGACAAGTAATTTTCTCACCTAATTTTCCTGTAGAACTGATAATTAAGTGCTGTTGAATGCATCACCGGCACACGTTTGTTAGAGTTGATATAGTGCCTCTGCATATTTAGAAGCTAAAAGTCTTCTCTAATGCTAGAGTAAAAATACCTACTTCACCTACTTCATGGCCTTAATATCTATTTCATGGCCTTTTATCTCCATCATCTAACTTCTATCTATCTAACTTCTATCTATCTATCCATCATCTAACTTCTATCTATCTTCTATTTTTTAAAAGTTGCCATCAGTGAAAAGTCCTCTATCTTTAGAATCTTTCATATATTTTGGACCGCACTGAAAAACAATTACTATCTATATTGTAGAACAAGTTTAAATATATTGACAAAGCCTTAAGATGCTACTACATATATTTTAAAAAATCTACATTAAAGTAATTGGTTCTGACACAGAGTCAAAGTTTAGAAGGTAAGTCTTCTAATTGGGGTGGAAGTTCTTAGATCAGCCAATAATTTTACTTCGCTGTGTGACATTCTGCACATCCTTTAACTTATGTTTTTATGTGTGAAGTAATGAAAATGAAGCTAAGACAACACTAGACATGGAAAAGGCATCATCACATATGAGGGAAGTGTTTGTTGATTTTTTCACGAGCATGTACTTACATATCTTCTATGTGTGGCTCATTCCTCACGCAGCAGCTTGGCAATATTGTTTTTTGCCCAAGAGCTATGCAAAAGGAATATAGACAGATTAAATTTAAAGATACCCAAACTGAAGATAGGCAGTCAGGGCCTGTAACTGAGAGAGTGAAGACCTTTGGAGTTAAGTGAACAACTGTGTACGTGACCTTTCCTGCTTTAGTGGCTCCATTGGTCACCATCTCTGCTTTGCTATTTGCAGGGTGAAGAAGAGTTATGAATGCAAGTGGGTTTTAAACCTGTGAGCAAGAACCAGAACAACGATCAATCAAATGACTGTGCCTGTCTTCTTGGAAATGTGTCCAGGATTTCCAGGTGTCTGATAGAAATTGACACCTAGAAGCAGAGACAGGGGTGCTGGAGACCTGGCTATGCTTGCACAAACTGCCAGATGCCTTCGGAAGGCAGCAGGATGGCTGTGCTTTGCTCTCTTGCCCACAGTAATGCTGTGGGACAGACGCAGGAGATCACAAAACTCTTTTGACTTCCTGAAACCAAGCTTGTTTTACTGAGGGCCCACGTTCACTCCAGCTGCTTACTTTGTCTGGTACAAAGCAGTTATAAGTGCCAGAGGATAGGTGTGGAGGCATCTCCTCCTTTTCATGGAAGAAAGAGGTCCTATAGAAAACACGTCCAGCCGGGAAATTACAGACTTGGCTTCTGTGCTTTCTGCTTCCAGTGAGAAATAGATGAGAGATGAGATATCTTCTCACCTAACCAGCTGCTTTTGTGATACCCCAGTACCTGCTGAGGGACTTCTTTCTTGCCCCTGCCCAGAGGAGTTCCATGCAGCCTGGCACCTCCCAGAAAAAGCTCAGCCACATCACCTGCTTTACAGCACCAAACCCTCCAAATGAGTGCTCTTCCTCAGCCTAAAGTACCAGATGCCCCAGAGCTCTCTTCTGTCCCTCCTCAGACCAACGTCCCCTGCACAGACCCAGCCAGGAGCTCTGGCTTGTGCCACCATGAACCAAGAAGCAGGGAGAAAAGCAAGCTGGGGTTAACACTGGGTGAGGAGATATCTTCAAAGGGCCAGCTGGATCTGTGAAGAGGTGATCAGGTTAGAGCGGGAGTAGGTGTCAATGGCATCGTTAGCACCCAATACGGTATCCCACTTGGAAGTGAATGCCCAGCACAGTCCACCTGAGGAAGTCCCTCACATCCCATTCCTACTGATGAATTCAGCTGCAGCTCTTGCCCTAGAGGAAGAACGTGCTGTTATGTCACAGTATGTCTGAGACTCACCTCTGACCACATTGGCACATGGACAAAAAATGCTGTTTCCACAGTCACAAGTGGCCCAATGACTGGCTGTAGGGGTTTGGTGCAGCAGCACCCGTAGCTGCTGTTAGGCTGAAGTGCCCCATCTCTGTGGTGCCGGCAGGGGTAAAGGCAGACAAATGCTCTGCAAAATTCAGAAACTGCCACAGAAATATTTGCTTGAGTTTCACTGCAAGGACCATAATTACTCCTGTGCACTGCTTGTAGGCAGACACCTTTCATTTGGTTTCACTCATTTTGATTTAAAAAAAAAAAAAAAAAAAAAAAAAAAAAAAAGCATCCTTCCAATCC